TGTTAACTTACAATTTTTTTTGCTGAAAATAGTTAGAGGTCTTTTACGACGCTGCACATTTTGAAAAAGTCTGGGAACCTCCAACACAAATTTCCATGTTTCGATTAATTAAAACTTCTTGAAAGATCATTTTATTATTTTAGCCAAATTATGGTCAAACTCTTCACTTTCGGTCAACTAACTAATTTATGGGCAAAAATTGTCGAAAGATCCTTCTACCTCACATTTTATTTATGTCGGCAAAAACCCATAAAACATTAATTGTTCGGTGCAAACGAGGGTGTTCCTGTAACTATTTTTGTTCTTGAAGTTTAAGATGAGCCACTTGGACTGCCGTAGCTTTCAAGAGTGACTCATTGAAAGCGATAAACTACCCATTAGGCTCTCAGTCTCCTAGTTTGTATTTCGTATTTTCCCTCAATAAATTAGAATTTTGTCAAAATACATATAGTATCACCGAAAACATGATCTATCACACAAGAATGGACACATTCAAATTGGAAAATACAAGATCAACTAAACAAATGGGTCGATAAATTATTCTCATTGTTGTAGAAGGGGTGAAAAGGCACCACCTAAGTCCGTCTAGGCATATATAAGGTGTTTTCAAAACGTCCTACATGAGGGTAAGACGTGGAAAAGACGATTAACTCTTCTTTTGACACCACAGTGCCAGCATAAAAGAAAAAGGTAATATTATAAACCCTAAAGTCCCACATATATGCATTAGGCTATCCCTTCTGATAGGGTAAACGTTAAACCAACAAAAAAAACATTGCCTTTATTCAGCATTTGGCAATTTATATGTCGTGGCTCATGGTTCACATCCATCGAAACGGCGTTTATTCAGGCGATTCCTTTCTTTTAATTATTGTCTTCTCTTGCGTACTCAGTATATACAAATACAATACAAGCCCCTCGAACCAAACTTCAAAGCAACATATGCCCCGCGAATAATTGGCATTCACATGAATTCATTTTTCTATGGGTAATACTTAATAGTAATTTTATTCCCCCTGCGGTCTGCATTATCTTTTATATATTGGTACTTATATCTTTAAACACAAGGTCTAACGGGTAAATGATCTAAGAAAGAAGACATCTATGCTTTCATTAGTTGATGCAATACTGAAGAAGATTTCATGGAAAAGTGCGATTGAAATTGAAAGAACTAAAGTTTTTGAAGTGTCCGTTTTTGGAGAATTTTGTCTATTTTGAGTGAAAACGGCCCAATGAACAAAACACTGAGGCCTTGCCTGCATCGTTTGACCTATTTTGGCCAAATTCCATTGTTTAGAGCTTTGAAAATGCGGCGTTTCTCAATTGGTCAGTCAGTCTTTGGGTTTGCTCCCCAATTGTTACCAGTTCGAGTCTCCTTATGATCACTGAGGTGAATATTTGGTAGTAAACCTCAAAGCCTCATGGGATTAGTTGAGGTGCGAGCAAGCTGGCTCGGATATTCACAGTTATATTTAATTTCATTGACAGTCACTCGTTATTTAGAAGTTTAGTAATTATAATTTTTTTTTTTTTTGGTTATTGCATTAAATATGAGTTGTAAAACATTAGGTGAATTTGATTATAATATAGTCTTAATAAGTTAAGCTTTCGCTACGTCATTAACTTACAAATAAACACGATCTCTTTCTCACGAAATATAAAGAAAATTTTCATACGTAATACTACATAAATTAGTACTAGAGAACGAATAATTATCTGTCTCGACGTTTATAGTTTCTAGCTAACAACAATATGTTCTTCCAATAAATGCATGGGGGAGAAAAAATAAAATGAATGGAAAGACGAACTAATTGATTAAGAATAGATTTAGAAGTAACACCAACCATAGAGAGAAGACAAACATATGGAATATGGAATAAAGTTTAAACATTTGAAAACATTGAAAGGAAGCCATAGAGAGAGTACATTACATACATGTTGACTGGAAAATACTAAAATTTGATTACAAATCTTAATATTCTCTTCCCAGCAAATATAATCCAGCACACGATTAGGAATATTTTTTAGCCTCAAATAAACAAGTTGAATGAGGCTAAAAATTTCCATTTCCCGGAGAATATAGACCCACCGCATTAGCCGCTGACCTCTCTTTGGAAATTATCATTATGTTTTCTTCTCATCTTGTTCCTTTCCCTCATCACATTGTATAAAATATTGTCATTGATTGAACACAAGATGCATAAATTTCATGGGGAAATGCAATAGTATTAATTGAAAGAGGAGGAGATTGTCCTTATATTAGAATTGAATTTTTAGTAGATTGCAATAGAAGTTTTTGAAATGTGTAGTTGAAAAGATGCGTAACCCATGAAAGATATGGTTAATATTAATTGTTTGACTTTGATTTAAATTAAATCAGATTTTAATCCGGTCCAAACATGCCCTTAATCTTACTATCCAATATATATATACAGAAATGATCTAATGAGCACCGGTGCTCATCTTATCCTAAACACCGATGAGTTGACACATTAATTTATTGGTGGATAAAGATTTTGTGAGTTCCAATCCACCAATGAATTAATGTGCCAACTCANGGCCTTATATTATTTAGCCTCTCAATGTATAGTGCAATACTAGACAAAAATTAAGCCTGGTTTGATGTGGATTAAAATAAGATTTTTATTAGATTTGGATAAAAGTTGATAAAATGTGTATTTGAAAAGTTATGAATCCCATAAAATATATTGTTAAAATTAATTATTGATTTTGAGTTGAATATTTAAAAACTTTGTTACCTAAACCAAAAAGGGAATTAATATTATCCATCGTGATTCACTATAATACCATCATCTACTATTGTTCATTCTAATTTTATATTACAAAGCATCGAAGGTAACCTAATTGTCAAGCTAAAAATTAAATAAATAAATTAGGTTAAATGTTTAAACTTTTAGACGAAATGTTACATTTATATCAAAGTCAATAAAATTCAAATTCAAATTCAAATTCAAGTTTAAGTTCAAGTATTGTCGGAATTCATCTAAGGAAAACATCTAGTTTAATGTACGGACATTACCTTAAGACCCACTTGGTACACAAAGATCACACTATAATAATACACAAAATTCTTCTATACAGTTCATTATGTTCGATCTATGCCACCAAATAATTCATTGGAATCAATGGTGATATAAAATTGAATGTAAATTGATATCTTTAAAATCACTTTTGCATTCTTATTTACATTCCGATAAATCTAAATTCAAATTTTGCTCAAACGAGAAGATCTAAAATCCAATTTTTGCCTCTCGTGGATGTAAAATTAAAAATTTTTAATATTTTTTTTTTTTTGTCAAAAAATACAATTTACACCTCATTCGCATCTCTCCACTGGAGAGATTTTCGATCACTTTAGATATCTAAATTTCTATTGTATACTACCATTGAAGATGCTCGTACATCTATTATTGAGGAAATTGAATTTATGCATACAGGTGTAAATTTAAATCCTCGAATTAAGAGCAAAGGAAGAATATAATATTCATAGAAAAACAACAAAAAAAGGGAGGACCGATAAGAACAAGAGAAGAGAACAAATAGAGTCTGTCGCCTCGACATGGTCACGCCCACAAATCACGTGATGGAACCTTGTTTACGCCGGAGAATGTGGTTCAGTTTTCATGCCAACTCTCAGTCTCCTGGGGATCGCCTCGACACCCAGTGGGGGTGGACCAATGAATATTTGGACACGGAGAGGGAATATTGGCGTTGAGGAAGACCACTTGGTACGTTCACAAATGAAATGGGAATCATTTGAATTACTTAGCAACGTGTAAGACCTAATTATTTACATAATTTTGATATAATTTTGTGGATTGTTTCATGAAGTATACAGTTTAGTAGTAGACAGTATTAAAAAAATAATATTATATATCATATTCTATCGAGTCTAATAATAGGTTTTCGTTTGGTTTTCATTTTCTTCTCTCAAAATTATATTTTTCAAATTCAAATATTAATATTAATTATTTCGTAAGATATATGAGTACTCTCAATTTATCAATCACTAATTTTTTTTTAAAAATAAAACTTTAACAAAATAAAATGAAACCAGGCTAAGCTCCTATTTGGTAGGGATTAAAATTCGATTTTTAATAGATTTTAATAAAAGTTAATAAAATGTGCATCGACTGAAAAAATATGAATCTTATAAAATATGTTGTTAAAATTAATTATTGACTTTAATTTAAATTTTATATCAAAGAGGGGCTAAGTATCAATTATGTCATTGGAAGGTACAATATTAATGCTTGTAGCCTTGAGTCAAATGAATAATGGAGCGTCCATAGAAGAGATTAATAAAAGAAACTTTGAAGAAGGGGATATGTTGGCCTGCCACTCAAATCCTTTTCCATTATAAAAAAAAAATCTGATAAAATAAAAAGAGTGTGGAATTTTAAGAGATAATGATTCATCAACGTATAGAGGAACTCAGTTCCTCTTTCCAATATTCTTTGTGTAAACAGTACTCCTTTTGTTTTCTGGGAAACACAGTCAATTCCTCCATTAATCTCTCTCTCTCTCTCTCTCTCTCTCTCTCAATACTGAATAAAAAGTCAGTGATGCTTCTGTATCCTTAAGTACATATCTTCCACTTTTAACTTGCTTTTTCTTGATAGCTTCATCCCCAAAAATTCTGTCTGCTCACTGCTTTTTTCTTCTGTGTTTTGTGAATCTGACTAGTTTTGGTAGCTTCTGCAACTCCCTTTGAGTCTCTGTTCAACTTCTTTCAGTTCTCTATTCAAACCCTAGACCTATTCTACTAGATAGGTATCTTTCTGTAGATATGCTAGATAACCATGCAAATAATAAAGTACTCATGATTTAATAATCACAGCTTATTCCTCTACTTTTTTGCTCTCCTCCATCTCTCTCTTTTAATAGCATCAACTTTATCGATTTTTCTCAGTTCCTACACTAGTTTTTAGTGTTCTTAATTTGTGTATCCTTACATCATGTTGTTTAGCCCAAACCAAATGAGAAGCACAGATTCCACCATGACTGATCTTTCTTTGCAGATCAGTCCTCCATCAATATCTAACTGTGGATCCAAGTATGATCATGGGCTGATGAAAATACCTGGCTTCAATACTGAGAGGAGCTCTCCCATTGATTCGGCCAGCAGTGGAAGCGATTTGACCCATGAAAATGGTATCTTTCACCCAGAAAAGAATTTTAATCATCCATCTGTTGAACCCAGCTTGAGTCTTGGATTTGAAACGGCATGGTTGAATCCCGTTCCGGTTCATATACCAAGGCAATTTCAACATTTTCAGACTCAATTATATGGGAAGAGGGAGTTTAAAAGAAGTTCGAGAATGATTAATGGAGCTAGAAGAAGTGTTAGAGCTCCTAGAATGAGATGGACTTCAACTCTTCACTCTCATTTCGTTCACGCAGTTCAGCTCCTTGGAGGCCATGAAAGTATGTCAAAATAATATGAGCTTGATTTCAAGTATTTTCATTAATATCTTGTACAATATTTACAGTTTACATATTTTGCTTTTAATGCTTTAATGGATTAGAAAATTATTATGGGGAAATGAGTATTGTTTTCTTCTGCAAATGTTAACAGGAGCAACACCAAAATCAGTACTTGAGTTGATGAATGTGAAGGATCTAACCCTAGCTCATGTGAAGAGTCACTTGCAGGTGGGTTTATTCTGTTCAATAATATCTTTCTAAAAAGTATATGCAGAATTTAATTACTTTGTTTTTCAATTCATTTTTCAGATAGTATCACTGAGTAAAATTCTTTCATTTATATTCTGATTGGCTAGTTATTTTGAGGTATAAAATAATCATCTGATAATAAGTGAAAGTTCCCTTATCTTGAGTGAAGTGGGGAATTGAGTAGTACAGTGGGGTTAGGACAAAAGGGCATCATTTATGGGGATAATCTTGGACTTTTGTTTAACAGTCTTTTTCTTATGGGTTCTTCCATGCAGATGTATAGAACAGTGAAGAGCACTGGGAAAGGAGCAGGTATGAATTAATTTCAAGGACCCATTTTCCATTATTTTCTTTGTTTGTGTTTGGTTATTAACTAAATCAGGACAAAATTTTGTACCAATTCAAGAAGTTTGAAAAGGTAAATTCATTGATTTGATTATTATAATTAAATGCAGGTGAAGTACATACAGATATGGGACTGAAACACTGGACGAAAGGGATAGAAGTTGAAGGCCTGTCTTGTGAAAAAGCTGATATTATCAAAAATGCTGAGAAGTGAGTGCATTTTCTGCAGTTTTATGTCTCTATTTGTCAAGCTGTGCATGTACTCCATCTTCCATCATCACATTTTATGTATGAATATGCTTATTATTTCGTTCCAAATAGTAATACAAGGAAAAAAAAAAAAACTGGAAAAAAAAATCTTTATATTGAATAGTCCCTTCTGAAATCTAAAATATTTCCCATATGATAATAAAAAATGAAAATTGGTATTCATTTATTGGAAAACAAAAAAGTCTAAAAGGATGTGTAGTATATAAATTCTTGAAGATAATAATCTGAACAAATCTGATCTCCCGTCTACAATAGACGGGATAAAAACTTCTCACTAACGTGGTAAGAGAACCTTACTAAAGTTTTTTTTAAACAGTTATACATTTAAATAAACTTCATTAGGAGAGATTTTTATTTGAAGTCCTTTAAAAAGTCAAATAGTAGGCTCAAATCTCAACAGTGCTTGATTAGGGTGCCATTTGGTGCAATGTAGGGGCCCTATCCTATGACCATAGTTGAGTTTTGGAAGTGTATGCTATGTCGAATATCAGTAAACGTTGGCTGGTTCTTTTGACTTCATTCATCTACCATCGAGAACAGAAACATCGAAAACTACAAATAACTTAAAACGTTTCTTATTTTAAACCAACATTATTAGTAAATCATTGTATGTGACATGTTTTATTATTGTTAATAGAAAACATATAGTATAAGCATAAGTTAGAAGCTTATACTTTGCATATATTCCTAAACCATGGAAATCAAAAGCAATAATGTCTACAATAGAATAGTGTTTGGTACACACACATGGATGTGGATATAATTTTCATTAATAGACACGACGATAAAACATGAATTTAGGATTTTCGCTTATATTATTGTCACGTTAAAGCATTCTACTTATAAGAATTTACAGGATTGTCATGCTTTATGTACTTTCAAAGCATCTAAATTTAATATTGGCATATTACCCTTTTCAATTTGTAGTAATTCTTTCGGTCAATTAATAAGGTAGGAGTCAATATCAGATCCTTTATTTAAGTACAAGAGGGAGTCTTCTAAAAAATAAATAAATTAATAAATCACTTCCAAATACACTTTTAAATATATAAATAATTTTCGATCTATTTCATGTCGAGTTATGTAAAATGCTTTCTCTAATTCATTGTTTTCTTTTTCTCAGAGCTTCATTGGCATCTGCTTCCCATGGGCACTTGAGTTCTTCGCATGATGGAGCTAACGTAATGAAGGTACAATTGACTTAACCATAATCCTTGATTCACTTTTTTTTTTTACGTAATCGATCCATGTCAATGCAAGTGTTTTTTTGACCAAGTATCTTGGTACGTACCATGTTTTTTTTTTGGTTAAATCACCTTGTCTAAGAGTATAAGCTATTTCAATTAAATCTCGTTCAGCATGTAAATTAACAATGTATTTTTGTGTTAATCAACAGGTTGACGGACTCGAGGCAAACCACAACACATCTGCAATGAATGAGAAGTTAGATAGCTGTAATAGTTCCTTGTCTTCTTCTGATATGTTACTTAATCTTGAGTTTACCCTAGGAAGATCAAGCTTTCAAATGGACCACTCTAAATCTTCCCTTCTCAAATGTTGAATTTTATAATAGATTTGCCTAAATATGTGTTCAGAGAGCTAGGGAACATCTGTAACACAGACATATGCTTCCTTTTTGTATTCTATGATGAACTATAAAATCAAATTTTGGGATCTGAAGATGAATTGTTTACAGAATTTAGCATAATATTTTGAAGGTGGGCTGAAGAACTTAGCAGGATCTAACCAATTGATGTTTCTGTTTAATGGTATTTTTTCTTCCAACGAAAAATGGTGTATCTTTTGATGTTATATATTCCGTACGAGCTGAAGTCATGCAACGAGAAAATTCGAGATGGATTTAAATACTGGTTAATTCTGCAAATCCCCAATCATTTGAATATTAAAGATTCATTGAACCAAAATAACAATAAACTCTAAATCTAGAAAGCCTAACTAGAAAACTTAATAACGACAAAACACTCTTTCTCAAGAAACTTCTGATTTCTCCCTACAAAATTCTCTCGTTGACCAACAACCAATTTAAACTGATCAACTCACAACTAATATATTCATCTCGATTGCTTCTCAATCTCACCCACTAAGGATAAGAAATTTGTGGTGATTTATAGCCACAAAGGCAAGAAGAAAACAATGAAAACAAGGCACAAGTAGGAAGAAGAATGAAAGGGCAACCACCGGTTTCCAGCAAGCACAAAGCACAACCACGTTTGTTTTCTTTCTTTTGCAAATAACTATGCAATTTGGTCACAATTAATTATATATTTTATTAATAAATATATAAAGATAACATATCTATGCAATTTGGTCACAATTACAAAAAAAATTTAAGGTCACAATTCAAAAATTTTATAGGTCACAGTTCGTTCATTGGTCACAAATTAAAAAGTCACAATTTGTTAATCGGTCACAAATTACAAAATTTATAAGTCGCAACTTATTTTATGGTCACAAAATATCAAATTAATTGATCACAAATTATATTTATGTCAAAATTTATCAAATTATTGGTTACAAATTAATAAATTTTTAGGTCACACATTATTTATTGATCATAATTTATCTATTTCATTAGTCGTTTTGGAAAGTCATGATCTTGTGACTGACAAGAACCCTTTAACATATATGCTCTTCGAACTTGATCTTAGATGTTATCATTGTAATCCAAAATGGGTATCCTTAGCCAAGATCAGTTGGAAGTTTAGTGATGTCAAATTCCACATGATTCGATGTCCCCTCAACAACACTTACGTTGTCCAAGTCAGTTTTTCTTTGAAAAAATCTTTTCATAAGATTTCAGCAATTTCAATTTAACAATACCCAAATTTCAGCAATTTCAATTCAAAAATACCCAAATTTTAGCAATTTCAACTATATCTACTCAACTGTCAGCAATACCCAAATTTCAACAATACCCAATTTCAATTCCATAAAAGTGAATCTCTACAAACAGCACACAGCACACAACAATACGCAGAACGTAGTATTAAAAAAAGAACAAAAAACATCTCAAGATGACAGCTATCGCCAATTGCTAAAGAAAATACCTAACAGAGGCGTGCACTTTCTGATCCGGGCGAAGAGCAGTCAGCAGAGGTGGAGGCTGGAGGTGGAGGAGGGCGGACGCTGGAGGTGAGCAGAGGAGGAGGTGCGAGAATAGCTTCTGAACCTGAGGGGACGGCTAATAATTGTAAGCGGCTATTGCGAGGCGGAGTTGTGAAGATGAGATCGAAGTTCTGAACGGCTGAACCAACTTACGAATGTACCCACTAAAAGAGAATTTTATGGGTAAAGATGATATCGTAGGGCTGGAGGCGGAAGCTACAAAGTGCGAAGTGCCGGAGGTGGAGGGCCGGAGCGGAGGCGGAGGCTTCAGGTACGAATAAATGGAGGATGGAGTTGTTGACACGGGAACGACCAAACAAGGTTTAAACTTTTGGGATTGGGCTGAATGCTGGTCTTGGGCCTCTAACAACGCCACCAACACATGAACCGCCGCCTCCACTGCCACCACCATCGTTAATACCTCGTCATAACACCCAGCAGTACAACCACCACCATCTCACCACCATTACCACATCACCCCAAAGCCACCAAAACATGGAAACTACTACCACCCATCCAATAATTTAAAAAATAAAGCACAGTCACCGCGATCTGCATTATTGCAATCTCGATCTGCGTTATTGCAGCCGCGATCTGCGCCATCACCACTGTGATTTACGCTGCTGCAACTGCAATCTGTAGAACCTCTGGTGGCGTTCATGGTGAAGGAATGGCCTTACCCGAGATATGCAGAGCTTTCGACGATCTAGACCGCTGCATGCACGATTGCAGCAAGAAATGGCTCACCGATGACGCTCATAGCTAAGATGGCGAGGTGGTGCCAGTGGTGGTACTGGTGCGACGCGGTGGTGGCGACAGGGTTAGAGATGGAGAGAAAATGGGATGTCGGGGGAGAGAGAGAGGAGATAGAAAATGAAATAATTAGGGTTTGTGGTAGATGAGATATGGTGTGTATATAAATTAATTTATAATATTATTATTAATATTAATATATTTATTTATTTATAATAAACATTAAATAAAAAATTATAACCTTATTTTAGAAAAATTAAACTTAAAATCTAATTAATGAAATGTAAATTTTAAAAACGGGGCTAGGTGTAATTTTCTATAGGTGAATATATGGAACTTCAACTACATTAATTTCTTAAATTACTTTCAACGATTCATGTTGCTTTCAAATCGGACCTTTAGACTTGATTATTGGTAATTAATTCACCAATCGATCGAGACAGAAAAATATAATCTGACCATTTAATATTATCGTTCGAGATTTATTGGATATCAAAACCCAACAAAATCTATACCACTATTCCAGCAGACCACCAATTATTCAGCCAAAATATCATCCTCCACCACCTTATAGCATCATCACCCGCGACCTAATCCACCAATACCAAATCATTAAAACATCCACTTCCAACACACTCTTCTAGAATATGGAATAAGTCTTTTGCCTCACTTCTTGCTAATGATTCTAATTAGGATTGAAATAGAGATTAATTAAGCCTCCCTCTTGACTTGTTGATCGCAGACATATGATTATTAATTTTAAAAAGACGATAATTATTGCTATTCATGATTAGCTTTGATTTTCCAGTCTTTAAGAATTCAGGTGAATTTCTCTCTCTCCAAGAAACATGAAAATCGTTCACTCAGTTTATAAAGGCGTCAATCGTTCTAATTGGATCCAACAGTAATTAAAGACAAAAAGAATTAACAATTGAATAAAAAACTTGCGAAAAATACAACTTCCGATTTTGGTAAGTCGATATTCCTTTTCAAGGATTCTCAACTAAAACATGGGGTTTTTTCTCACGGTAACCAAACCTTGTTACTGTCTATCTCTTAGAAAATGAAAAAGCAATTAATTTCATTTGATTAATTCATAGAGTTTGAGGGTTTATTATAAAAGTGTACCTTTGCAGTGAAAGTAATTCCAACTTGAATCTCTCCTTGATAAGTTTTATCTGTGGAGACAACTCTGTATTTTTGAGGACCGAGCTCAGCCTTTCCCTTTTCAACCCCTATTTCTATAAGTTCTTTCACGTAGATCCTGCAATGCATTTAGGTTCTAGTAAGTCACTGGAGTAAATAAGAATAAGATTGAACATAGATTAAAAAATATATGCATTTGATAAATTCCATAATGTCTTACTTTGCCTCGCCAAGATAGTCATGTGCACGGAAGGTGTTGTGATCCATGATTTTGAGCACGAATTTGTATTGATAATCATCTGCCAATAGAGAATCGACCTTGAACTCAAACTTCTCATCCCATACTTGGCTAGTGCCTTTTCCTACACATGCATTACGTTTTTCTGTTATCATTTCTCAAGTTTTTATTTATTAATTCCTCTACCAATGCTCTACTATTGAATTATTTATTAGTTTTACGCAATGTCTGTTAAATCTACGACGACCCATTTCAAATTTATTATTTTAAGTATTACGTTATCAATTCCTAAAAATAATATTGAAGTTAAAAAATGGGACTTAGATGATTTTAATTTCTTGCCATTGAGAGAACTTTTAAGTGGCATGTTGGGCATGGTATGTTTGAGAGATAAAATAAGTTTAATTTTGTATGTTGTTTCGTAAATACAATGGGACAAATATATTTTTATACACTTATTTGGACCTAAAAATAGTCTAATTTAGTGTATATTTCATTTATTAGGTAAAATTCGATGATTGAAAGAAATGAAAATTGATAAAAAAAAAAGGGCAAAAAAAAAGTATGGGGACTAAATTGCAACATTTAAATAGTTGATTCGGACCATAAAATAAAGATTGAAGATGTTACATGTTCATTCAATTGAATGCAAATAGAAGTTGAAGGACCGAAATAGGTGAAATGGGAAGTAAACCATCAAAAAATTGAAGAGAGAAGGAAACGAAGGACCAAAACTCAATATTTGGAAAATGGTATAACTGGGCGATCGCCCTGCCTGAGATTTTAAAAACAGAAGCTTAAAACCTCGCCTGGGTGAGTTTCCAGTTTCCTACTGGGCGATTGCCCAGTCCAAATCGGGCAAACACGGGCTGTTTTCTTTTTTCATTCAAAATTTATTTGGAAACCACTTCTTGCATGATTTTTGACCTAATTTCACCTCTATAAATACATAACATGGACAATCAATAGAATACACCTCTCATATACATATCCTATCACAATATTCATCAATTATTATTATCGAAAGGANACACCTCTCATATACATATCCTATCCCAATATTCATCAATTATTATTATCGAAAGGAGGCGTAAATTTATAATTTTTGTGAGAAAATTGAAGAGCAATTGCAAAAATTCATACAATTGAAGATTAAATCTTGATTTTTGGGTAAAAAAGAGAATACAGAAGTGTAGATTCATCAAGAAACTATTGAAGATATTCAAGATTCTTCTTCATCTTCTCAACTAAGGGTGATGTTCTATAAATTTAATATGATTTCTTGTAATTTTCCAATGTTAGGCTAGGTTTTCAATTATTAAGATGTAGATGAACCCTTATTATAATTTTTTTAATATAAATTAAATATTTTGACATTCAGGGTATGTTTGAACTACATTATTTTGGAAGAATGTATTCTGGAATTGTAGATTGATGGAGAATGTGTGATTGAAAAAGAAAGAAAAGTTATTGATGTGATGGAAAATATAATTTTATTGAAAAATGTGTGGTTAAAAATGAATAGAAGAATGAAAATGAAAATTTAAATGTATACCAAACATGGGCTCAATATATGTGATTTCTTGGATGCTTGTTATTGTGTTTAATACTTTTTAATTAATTGGTCACTAGTTGAAATGATTCGTGAATTTTATTGATTTTGAGAGAAACGATAAAATAGATAGCACTTATAACAATCATTTTAAAGTTCGATATGTGATAGAGATACCGTTATACTTTGCATATTCTAGCGTTTTTAATGGATACTTTCATATTCGCATCTTTCATAAAAATATAGAAAGGTTACGTGAGGGGATATATTTAATTGACATCGAGAGATTTTTTTAATTAACTTATGAATATTGATCAACAATTATTCATACATATTGTCGTGATATTGATTTGCATTAAAGATATATTAATGAGGGAATTTGAACTCTTAGGATCATCTTACATAATTTTATAAAAACCTTCGTAAATTGCTCAATAAAATAGTTAGTTGATTAGAGTAAATTCTTCAACAAAAAATTGTTATTCAATTACGTTGAAATTAATTGATCCTTGGTTAGTCCTTGTCGGAATGCTATTTAATTTAACTTCTCACTTTATTACTTATTCGCAATCCCTTTCACTCTCGAGAAATCAAACAATCAAAAAACTACTTATAAATATGTCGCTTTTTGTTTTTTGAAGAAATCTTATCTCATATATTTGTTCTAGGAATTTGTCTAATTGGACACCAAGTTTTGGTGTACATCCCCCTCACAAT